TTTATAATTGAATTAGAAAAATGTGAAGGAAACTTGTTTCGCAATTTACTAAAGCAGTGGGTAAGTGGGAGAGGAGCTGGGTGAGTGACGCTTTTTTAGAGGAAGAAAGGAAATCAAAATAATTTTTATTTTTAAAATTTAAAAAAAAATAGTTTATTTTCTTCCTTTGCTCTTTTTATTCTACCTTTACGGTGTTTTGGTTTGTTCAATGAATTGTTTAGAATTACCTTCTGTAGTGTATTTTTCTTCCTAGTGAAGTATCTGCAGTGATTTTATACATTAATATTAAAATATCCTTTCAACATACATTTCACCAGACATTATAACATCGAAAAATACTGTAATATAGTATTATTTGAAATATTTATGCGACAAATCGCAAAGTCCATTTTACATTCCATTAAGTCAAAACTTCACGTTGCCAAGAAATTACCTTAAAGAAATTTACACAAAACTATAAAACTGAGGTGATATTACATTTGCAAAATAAAAACTAGCGCTATTCTTTTGAAATATAGTGGCAGGGTTACTTGTAAATATGTAAAGTCAATGAATATAATAATTATTTTTAAATTATTGTGAAAGGTAAGCATATGATCTTTTTAATAAGAGTGATTGGTTCACATCTCAGTACAAACATTTCTTTGATCATTTAAGTGAAAGTTGATCTTTGGAGCTATAGGGAATTTTAATATTTCAGATGCATATAGGAAATATATAAAAGCAAAAGTAAAAAATTAGATTTGACTATTCTAGCTGTAGAACACAGCCAACCCTAATTTTGTAATTCATATATACTGATATTCTCCTCTATTAGCCTCGAATATATAGGGCATATCTCCAGGTAGCGCTTTTATCTGTCATAACATTTCTTGTCTCTCTCTGGTAGAGGTGCTTATGTAACAGCTACAGGTGGGGAGTAGATGGGAGGAGGAATGCATTCATTCCTATATATGTGCGGTTCACATTTGTTCTCCCAAGCTGGAGAACAACTGTTTTGATGGAGAAAAATTTTATCCCTGTGTACAGCACAATGATTTGCTTGTAATAAGCACAGACTAATAGTAAATATGTTTAGTAAATGAATTGTTGATGATAATAGTGTTTATCTTTGTTGAAGCTTCAGGGTATTGGACCCTAAAACTGTAAGGAATAAGAAAATGATCCCAAGTTCCCTGGGAATTGTAACATTTTATGATTTACTGAGATCCTAACATTCAGTTATCCTGAGTTTACATTCAGTTACCTTATTAAATGTAAGCCTGGTCCTTCTCTTTTTCTTTTTTCTTTTTCGATTTAAAATATTTTGAGTGACACCTTTTTCCCCCTATATATAGTGATTCCAAATTACCTGATGACAAACTTTTTTTTTCTCAGCTTTAAAAAAACTTCCTTTGATCAACATCTCCCCATTCTCATTTTCAAATCAATCATGTCCTTTGTATTCACACTTGAGCCTGCCTCTTCTATAATCTAACATATATGTGAATTTTACATAAATATTTATTCATATATTAGAATCTAATTTATTCCTTCCATTTTTCTGCTAGTCTCATAAAACTTTTCTTGATTATTCTCACATATTCTCTAAAGTTTTTTTAAATTTTTTACTATTTTATAACAATTATTATATTTGTCAAATATATAAATTTATTTTTTTATATATTTTTCTCTTTAGAAGGTACAAATAACTTCATTTGGAAAATTGTGTCTTTTTTCTCTAAGTATATGCAAGATAAGTGTGATTCTTAATAATTCATTTTAATAATTAATTTTGATGGACCTCATTTTTAGGTGAGATTTATCTCAGAAAATTTATTTTAATACCTGGTATATTGTCTTTGTAAATATTTTGTTAACTTTCTAATAAAGGTAAAATTAAAGGATATGTCTTAATGGAAACGTTTGAAGGAAAAGTATACTCTGCTAGCTATTTTTGGCAGGATTTTGAACATTTCTTACATTTATGACTGCTGTCTTCTCTAATCCACCCTGCTAATTTTTTTTCTTGTTTTTTTATGCCTTAGTTTCTTCAACTGTAAAATAAAGAGGTTGGACTAAGTTACCTCCATAGTTTCGCAATTTAAATAATAATCTTTTTTTTTTTTTTTTTTAAAGGCAGGGTCGTGCTCTGTCACCCATACTTAAATGCAGTGAAATAATAATCTTGACCATCATGAGATTTCCAGATGAGAAGGATAAACTTGTCATAGGAATTAAAAAAAAAAAGTCCAAGTGTCTATAAAATGCAGAATTTGAATAAATAGAGCATACTGAGTATATATAGGCCTTTAATCTAAAACACTATCCACTTTATGGAATTTTTTAATGTAATATAAATATCAGTTTGGTGAAAGAATGAGCAAATAAATTGATAAGACAACCTCCCATGGCACACCATTTAGTTACGATAGCAATAATTAAGCTAATATTTGTGGAACGCGGTCTGCGCAAAATATTTTGCATGAATTATCTCATTTAATTTTCATTTACACCATGAAAGAGACAGTAAGTTCATAATTTACACATAGATGAGTCTTAGGAGGGGAAATTAGACTTTTCTAGAAGCTGGGACTGTATATAATATTGTTTTTACATCTGCTAAATGTTTATTTAGGCTGAGTTTGAAAATTCTACCATTTGGTATTGGTTCTTATTAAATTCTTCATTTAAAACAACATAATACTTGAAGCATAAGACGTGCTAAGTGACTTCACTGGGTTTTAAAATGATGTTAAATGTTTAAAATAGTGATGTTAAACCTCAAGACCTGCATACTTCTTGGCTCTAACTAGCCATTTCACCTGGTCATATTTCCCAGATCTTGTTAAGAGTTGCCTACAACCAACATATCATTCTTTCTTGGTATTCACATGACACTTGAAGTTATATTTACACCTTAAATTATCCACTTGACATTTTATCGTCTTAAGTTTTCAACAGGAAGGACTCTTCTACATGTGCCTATTTTTAGTACAACCACAAGTAAAATACTGCAAATGGCTTAGATGAAATGTTCTTTATGAGATCAACCACATATTGGAATATCTGTCACATGGGCACAGAGTAATGTTTGTTAAATTGAAGAGGATTGACAGTCATAAAGATGAAATAAACTGGGTAAATTAGTGCCTTTATAATTCCATCTGTGTCATAAAATCCAACATTGGAGAAGGGGGTTATGGCTCCAACACTTTCATTGCTGACTTAATGTTTAGTAAATGAGTTTTATATCTTTTTCAAATTTTTACAAAAGCTCAAAATCAAATTATGAAAACTATTTACTATCTGGTCATCCCATGCAGATTATCTCCTATAGCATCAATAAGCTTGTAAACAGCTATACATTACTTATATCCTATATTACCTTCTATAATAAATCTCTTTTATATTCTCTGGTTTAAGTCCCCATTTTTCACTTAAATTGTCACTAAATCTTATAACTAGCGTCCAGAATTTTCTTCATCATAAGCTCTACACGTGGTCAAAAGTGATCTTTTAAAAACATAAACTCTCTGGTCTAAATGCTTACAAATCCCATTACCTTTCAGATAAAATTGTAACCTCCAAGTATGGCACATAAGTTTATTCATTATTTGCTGTTCACTTGTGTCTCCCAGTTCATTGTTAATCATCCTTTTTTTAAATTCTCTTCATCTCTTTAGCCAAGGAAAACTGCAATATCTGTGGCTCTTCAACCATGACATTCTCACTCCCACATGTGCTTTGCCTACTGCTCCCCACTCAAATGCCCTTACTTCCTCGCTGCCATTTTCTCTTGGCTAACTTTTCCTTTTTTCAAGCTCATAACTTCCTCTGAGAAAGGTTCAAAATAGACTTTACCTCCTTTAGGGAACCTTCTCTGACTGTCCAAAATTGGGTTAGGTCCTGCTCACATAGCATCCAAAGAATAGGCATTTATCACATATGTTTTGAAAATAGTTTTCTTATTGGCTTTTCACAGGATGATGTAAGTTCATTAAAAGACTTGTAATATCAGTACTAAAATATATATGGGATAAATGACTGTATGACTGATTTTTTAAAAATCACCACGGTATTCTTACTTCTTGGCATCAGCGGGTTAAGTTTTAAAGTTCACTCAATTTTGTTTTATATCCTCAAAGGAAGACGTTCCCAGTTTAGGAGTCTATTTTACAAATGCTACTATATAAGGACAATTATATACAAAAAGTGACATTTAAAAATGATTATAGGCTATGTATTTATGTATGTATTATCTGAAAATATACATGATTTGTTATTAGAAGTAGAAATAACTTAAAAAAATACTGTGCTGGAACTTTTTAGCTCAGGAATCCAAACCGTTTTAATTGATTTTTTTTTTCTGCTTTGAGTCTTCTTGCAGGCCCATCAATTCTTTACAATAAATATTTATTGACTACTTGCACATAAAGGTACAGCGCTAGGCAGAGAATGCCTAGATCAGCGATATGGCATTTTGTGGCAATTTTGACTGCTTTTTCTCAGTAAGCAAATTTACCATAAAGGGATGAAAATGCTCAGGTATTTCTGTCCCTGGCCTCCATGAACTGAGGCTGCCCAAGGAGTTGAAGAACACCAGGTGGTTGATGCTGCCCTTTCATTACATTCTCCATTGTCTGCCAGGGATCAGGACCTCACAGGGTCCTCACCTCGGGAGGAGAGATTGGACCCTGAACCTGCAGAGGAGAGAGGCTTGCTTAATTTCCCCCTTCATAGTTGTCAATTTAGACATTTTCTGGGAGCACAAATTAGAATCCTTGTGAGAGATGTTACTGCAATCAAATCAACTTCATATACCACTCCTAAAAATTGCTTGTAGTGATGTTATTTCACAATAAAGTCATGCCTGGTGTTTTCCTAAAATACATATAGAAAATCCAGAACACTATAAATTTACATTTTTTTGAATGCTTCAATACTACAAAACTGTTTTAAAGAATTTATTTTTTTCCTCTTCCAACCACCATTGATGAAAGCCTAACTGCCAGGAGAGCTTTTTTTTTTTTTTTTTTTTTAACAGGGTCAGGAAATCTACCCTAAGTAGTCAAATAACGTAAATTGTTTTTTCCCCTGTAGCTGAAATTGCTATGTCGGTTTTAAATTTCCCAATTCAAATTAATGAACAATTTTCTCTGTGGTGTAAGAGTGAATTTGGCAGTGCAAAGATCACAGCAATCTCTTCTTCATTAAATTGGGCAAAGAGAACTCACTGGTTCACAAACTGTTAAATGGATATTAGGGGTTTTAATGAATGGAACATTTATTTTTGTGCCAGCTCAACTAACAACATTGACATGATTAGCATACATTTTGGCAACTATTCTAGCACAAGGTGTCAGTAGAAAGGAGCTTTTATCTTTGAGTTTAATTTACTTTAGCTTTCCTTGTTATTAATGTTTTTAATGTGAATGAGATGTTTTTGTAAAGGAAATCCTGCCACAAGAAGTTATTCAGAAATACATATTTTTATTAATGTTACAGGCATTTCTCATGCTGGAGATAAAGTCCTTTCCCCAAAACACATGAACCTTCTTCAAATTTGGAAATGAATCGAAAATTGTGCTATTTGTACTGATGATGAAATTATTGCACTTATGGAGGATTCTTAAAAAATAAATAGTGTTATTTTTATCTCATGAAGTTCCTTTCTTTACAAAAAAGAAATAAGAAATAAAATATGACTCTTAAGAGATGTTTCCTCCATTGCTCCATATCAGTTATAAATGAAAAGTTTTGGGGGTTAAATGATCTTAGTCTCTTAGCTCAGATGCCTCTCATACAAAAGGAATTTCCGATAAAAATATATTTAGTTTTTGTAACAAATGTTGCTGCCTCATATACTTATTATTTTATTTACCGAAATTCTCAAACTGAAGAAAAATAAGATAAATGAGTTAACTAATACAAATCTAAAAGAACTTGATTGTTTGCATTCAATTTCTTTTTTTGCAGAGTATTTTTGTTTCAAAAATTATTGCAAGTTATTGCAACACTGCTAACAGAGGATTTGTTATAAATATGTGGTAAAATGAAAATGTGTAATGATATTAAATCTATAATCAATTAATATGAATGTGCACATACATGGGTGCAAATTTTCATATGAACTTACATCAAATATTTAGGCATACTCTCTTTCTACTACATATATGTCTATAACTACACACGCATTTAATAATTTACCCAATGTTTAACTGAGTAATGAATTAGTTTAATATAAACTTTAATATAGCAGAATACTACAATTTACTCACATTTAACCCTAAAAACAAACAAATGACAGGCACTTCAGTGAAATAACAAGCCCATGTTCAAATATAAAATGCTAAAAATGATAAAGAAATTATGAAAATATACCTTTAATTTGCAGACATAGAAACACTTTTGGTACAGTACAGATGCATGATGCCAAAAAGTAAAATGATCCAGTTTAAGCTAACACATTCCTTGTTTATACAGATTATTTTGCTATAGCTCTCATATAAAATAATATTTCCAGTTCACACAATGAATTGAAAGTGATAAATCACTGATGAAATAGCTTTCTTCATTGCAAGAGATTCAGTAAAAGCTAAATGATCAAAGAAATCTGCTGCAGGGCTTACAAATAAACTGTTGGACTTAATCCAAAACCAAAGAAAGGAAGGCAGAAATGGTAGCCAACAAACCTAAACAACAGCAAAAAGATAAGTACAGTATAACTTTCATATAAAAGGCCCAACTAAAACAACCAGTAGTGCACACAAGCCTCTAGAAGAATTCACTTTTAATATGATTTCTATTTTCTTATGTGATGGAAGATTTTAAGCCTATAAAAGTCTAATATATAACCCAAGTATAAAGTACAACCACCAAGTTGTGAAAGCACTAAAATGTCATGAATGCCTATGAAGCAACTAAGGATTGAAGCATTTCTTTGCTTCTGGCTGTTTTTCTTGGGCATAAGATCTAGTTACATTTTCTGTAACGAAGAATGTATGTGTGTATATATATATATATATATATTTCCCCTGTAATAACAGCAAGTGCAGTGGTAAAGCAAACAGAAAGCAATTCGAGTACACAGAAAGTGGAATACTCTTCAGCAGATCGAATTTGTAACACAAGGCAATGTTTTTATCCTTGCTAAAAAGGAATTGCACTTCTTTTTAATGCCTTCTCTTTCAAACTATATATGCACTTTTGAGGTAATAAACATTCTGTTTACAAGTGCATTTCTCTTTTTTCTTATATATTTAAATAGGGTGAAATTTAATTTACTTTAATTTCATATTTGTTTAATGTTAAAAACAATATATTTAAAATATACTCTTTCATTAATTTCATGTACAACTGTCAAGTACAATACCTCAGTTCCCTGCAAAGGAGCAGCTGATGCCCTCTTGTGGTGACAGGAATTTTTAGATAAAAATTTGTTCCTTTTTCTTACCTTACTCCCAGGTTTTATCAATCATCTGCTTGGTGTATGAAAGCTGCAAACCATGTCCAAGCTTTCTTTTTTTTTTTTTTTAATAACAGTCCTATGGCTGTTAGTACTAATTTTCACTTAAAAATGCTGTACACATTTTATAACCTCTGAATTTAAATTTAAAAACCTGTAAACAGCTATTTACAATATAGAACAAGTTATAAATTAGTCGTCCTTCATTGTAACTGCCATCAACACTCTCCTTTTTTAGGTGATGAAGATCCAAAGTCAGTTAAAACATTTCTCCGTGTTATTCCACCATGAAATATCAAATATTAGAAATATCCATTGGCTTTCTCTCTCGCATGTGCAAGTCAATTTTTCCTTTCAGTGGAATCTGTACTTCCAAATTTTCATCTTCCCTGGGATGCTTTTTCCCTTTCCTTAAACAGATGTATATGCCCATCCCTGTGACCAGTGTGATGGAACCCAAGCTTATTACAGACAGAGCTACTAAGGTGGGCATACAGGACACAGATTCTACCTTCCTATGAGTCGGTTCTATTGAGATTTGTGGTTCTTTCTCCTCTATATTAATCTCTGGTTCTTTCCTTAAAAGACTCTCAATGTAACTCTCATTACTGACAGTGTCATTGACAAATAGGTTCACCATGACCGTGGAGTGGAGAGGCTCAGGATAACCATGATCACTCACTTTCACCAGTAAGCGATGGAGCCCATAATCTGTCTGCAGCAATGCCTCTTCCAAAGTAATGTTGCCAGTTTTTGGGTCAATCCTGAAGGACTCAGGCCTAGGGCCTCTTCTCCCTATGATGCTGTAAGCTATGACAGCATTCATGCCTGTGTCTTTGTCGACAGCATAGACTTCTGTAACCGGGGAGCCTGGGAGAGTAGAAGGCAGTACTAACAGATAAGACATATTAGACTGAGGAAATAAAACAAGAGGAGGGTTGTCATTGATATCTAGAAGGAGAATTGTGATTTTTGCTGTAGAGGAGAGGGCGGGCTCACCCCCATCAACAGCCTCAACCCACAAAGTATAGGAGCTTTGCTGTTCTCTGTCCAAAGAGACTTTAGCCCTCAGCATACCCTTTCCTGTATCTATGACAAAAATATCACTCTGGTTCACCACAGAGAGGGCAACCCATCCATTCCGCCCAGCATCAGCATCTGTTACACTAATTACTCCAATCTCACCATAGCCTGGAAAGTTTTCAGGCACAAAAAAGCTGAAGTCCTTGTTGATAAACCGAGGACTGTTGTCATTTTTATCCAACACTGTGAGGGCCACAGTGGCCACTGATTCTCTGGGTGGCTTCCCACAGTCAACAGCTCTGACGGTGTATCTGTACTTTTCTTTCTCTTCTCGGTCCAGCTGAGTAGAAACTGTCAGAATTCCTGTGACATTGTCTAAGGAAAAATATGATGGAGCATCAGGTCCCAGAAAATATGAAACTTGGCCTCTTTCCCCACTGTCGGCATCTGTAGCATACAGCTTAGTCAAAAAGGCATTGGGTGAGTTGTTTTCTTCAATAGTTAGTTCTATTAAGGGTTGAAGGAAAATTGGAGCATTATCATTGTCATCTAAAAGTTGCACTTTAATTACTCTTTTGACATGAAATCCTTCAGAGTTCCAAGCCACCACAGCTACTTCATAGAACTGCTGTAGCTCATAGTCCATAGGTTTTGTGGTCTCTAGCAAATATTCATTATTGTATGGTTTGTAAGGTGATAACCTAAACGGGCCTTCACCATCCAGGTAGCAGTTAACCTTGTATTTACCTTCTGGATCTCTTATGGTGAAAAACGCAATGGGAGTGTTCACGGGTTCCAGTTCTTTCAGATAAACAACACCATCTATCTCGTTTGCTATGTAACGAGGGACAATCTCAGGGGGTCTGAAAATAACTTTGATAACGGACACAAGAGCAGTGATTACAGCAGGGATGCAGCCTGGTCCATTAGCAAGGATGGTGAGCTTGTGAGACTGCAGAACACTTCCCCCAATCTTATTGAAAAGTTTAATGACTCCAGTGTTTTCGTCCAGGTGAAATAAATCCTTAGATGCTTGTGGAACTTTCTGACTGTAAGAATAAGTAATTTGAGCATTGGTCCCCAAGTCTTTATCCACAGCCTGGACAGCTGCAATGGGGGTGCCCACTGTAGCATTCCCATACACAGTGACATTGATTTGTGAGTCTGTGAAGAGAGGGCAATTGTCATTAATGTCACTTATGCCAATGGTGAGGGTGGCACTGCCCAAAAGTGGTGGAGATCCACCATCCTCAGCTATGATGATGCTCACATATTGGTCCTGGGTTTCCCTGTCCAAAGCACCCATGACAATTAGGTAGGGGGTGCGCTCCCCGTTCTCATTTTCCTCCACGTCCAGGGTGAACATACCATGGTAGTCCAGTAAGCGATAGGTCTGTACCCCATTAATGCCTACATCTGGGTCCACAGCAGGATGCTCTATGGCCAATCGGGTGTTTACAGGTGCATTTTCCGGGACCCACACCGAGATTTGGGAAACAGGGAACTGTGGGGCGTTGTCATTGATGTCTCTTATGGCGATCTTCACCTTCACAAACCTGAAATATTCCTGAGGCAGGACAAGCACATCCAGCAGTAAAAGACAAGAGTCAGAAGAAGGAGAGGAGGAGATGGAAACGCTGCCGCCCCACGCGGTCCCTCCGCCCCCTTCAAGACACAGGGCCTCCCTGTCGATCTTCTGAGCTGAAGTGTGCAGCTCCCCAGAACGGTTGTCTAGGGTCACGTACTGGCCACTCAGTCCCCGGGAGGCCAGGCTGAAAGAGAGAGGGGGGTTCCACTCAGCACCGGTGCGCTCTGGCAGCTGCGAATGCGGGTCCAGCCTCCCTGCAGACCGGGGCAGCAGCCGCAGGTCCTCGGCCAGGCTGCCGATGAGCACCCCCGCGGGCAGTCCCTCGTTCAGGCTGTACAGAAGCTCGGTGGCCCGGCTGTGACTCGCGAGGCAGCTGAAGGGTTCCACGAAGAGGAAAAACAGAAACAGATGCTGGCGTGGGGGGAGGGAAGAAAGCTCATTACACACACGGGGAAATAGGGGTCTCAGAGAGAAACTAGTGCCCCTGTGATCCTTGCTGTCCCCATCCCCGTTCCCAGAAGCAAAACCTCTAGTTAGAACGGGGGCGGAGAAGAACCCCGCTGCAAAGGGAGATCTGTGGGGCAATGTCGTCTCCAAAACTTAATTTTGCTGTTCACTTTCTGTCCCCTCCGCCCCCGCCTTCCCCCCCCCCCCCCAGTTTCCCCATCACCACCCTCATCCAGCTAACTTCAGAATCCCAAACCATAAAACATCCCCGGAAACACGCCAGAGTGGAGAGGATTCCGACCCAGAGACTGCGCAACGCGACAGGGAAACCCAGGGTAGGTGATGAGGAGGGAGGGGGCTGGTAGTAGAGAGCACTGAAAGGTGGGCAATTTATTTCTCCTTGAAGAGTCTGCCATTAGAGTGCTGGAACACGCAGTGTGTTACACTAGGAGAACCGTAAAAACAACCACAATCGCAATGATAATAATACGGAGAAACTACTAACACTCTCTCCTCCACCTCCAACACTTTAGGTCTTAGATCGGAAAGAGTGATTTGTATTTTAGCACACATCTGAAATCAAACCGAAAGGATCTGGATTTCCACCTCTTACCAAGCCGTCACTAATCCCCCCTCCCTTAGGGGGAAGCAAAGTAAACGCGGAAAACGGTTATGCAAAAACAATCTGTCAATTGCAGTAGGCATTCATAGTCAGACGCCAGCAGCAGGAAACGATCCCGAACCCCTGTATCTAAAGCAGATTGAGCGCACCCCTGATCCCCTCCACCTTATCTGTATACATTTCTTGCTTCAGAAACTTCCTCTCATGACCCAAGGACTTCCCTATTCCTTGTTAAAAGGAAGACACATTATCCCAAACTCCCTTCCCTCCCCGTGCCATCCTTCCTGTGAAGTTTACATGAAGGTAGAAGGTTTGAAAAACCATCCGAGTGGAAATTGCTTCATAATACTGCAACTTGTCGGGGTCGCGGGGCTCCTTGAGCTCCTAACCCTTACCGGCAGATTCCTGTGGCTGGTGCTGCTCCTGGGACGATGTAGACGCCCCATATCCAGGCGCGGGTGCCAGGTCGCCGGGTACCAGCTCACTCCCAAGGCTCGCGAGCTGCGCGCATTCCCTCGGCCGCGCATTCCCCGGGAGGCTGCAGTCAGAGCGCTCTTGAAGGGAGGGCGGCAGAAGACACTCCCTCTGGGTTCATGCAAATCGCTGGGGGAACTTCAGCCAATAGTCACTGGCTCTTCAATTAAGGACGGGAACTCAAAGAGGGCAGAAAGGCATGGGGGCAGAAGGGTACATTCATGGTCTCCTGTCCCGGTCGCAGGTAACTGCAGACCCTGCCAGAGGAGCTGGAATGGGGGAGCTGCTCCTGAAGACTGCGAAGAGGCACCTCCGGGTTGGGCACAGTAACGCTTGCCCACTAGCCTCCTTCCTTGCTGCACCAGTCAGATGCTAAGTCCACAGGTTGCTAGCAGGAGAAGGAGAATTAAAATAAATAAATAAGCTTGTATTTGTATATGGATGTAACAGAGAGAGGAAGTCACAGAGCAATCACAGGCGCCGTCCCAAAACGCCCGCTTTGCCACCAGTTCCTCCTGGAGCCTCGGATCCAGCAGTGTTGGCACAGAGAAAGAAAACGCACTTTTCTCAGCGGAGTGTGTAACGTAGGGTGAACCAGAAAAGTAATATGAATTCAGTGAAGGTTTCGACATACCCCAATTTTGAATCTTTGCTGTGGGCAGTGGTAGAGCTTCTGCTAGTTTACTAGTTGGAGGCTCAAATGTCTCTGGGTGTCTGCCTTGTGATCTTATTTTAGAGACAGTAGTGGCTTCTGGATGCAGGGAAGAGCCAAGAGGAAAGTAGAAACAATTGTGCTGTAACACAAGTAGTTCTGCCTGCAAGTAATTTTTAACACATTTATCTAAGTGGTAAATTAGTGTGGGGAGGGGGAGGGATTCACTGAAGCCTAGGTAAAAAATTGGTTATTTTTCAAATTAGTCCTTCCTTCTTTCCCTCCCCTCTTCCCCTCTTCCTTCCTTCCTTCCTTCCTTCCTTCCTTCCTTCCTTCCTTCCTTCCTTCCTTCCTTCCTTCCTTCTTTCCTTTCTCCCTTCCTTCCTTCCTTCCTCCCTCCCTCCATCCCTCCCGCCCTCTCTCCCTCCCTCCCTGCCTCTCCCTTTCTCTCTCTCTTTCTTTCTCCTGGATTGCCTACTGGAAAACTGGTCCTTGGTAAAGGAATTGTGGAACAGTGTGTTGCCAAAGGCTTGCATATCCCCTATGGCTTTGACACTGAATAGCTATGTAACATGGAATAATCCCATAACGCCTGGGCTTCTGTTTCCTCATTTATAAAATCAAGGCTAGTGGGTTACTCCAGTACATTAAGCCTTTGAAACACTTTTTGATCTGCAGGTTGCCATATAAGTAATGGAAAAGCCCATGATTCATCCTTTCCTTGAGAAGACATTTCTCTTCATCGCTAGGCTTCCAGATATCCTCTGCACAGTCCTAAACATAAAACCTCACATACTGATGACCAGTGACTGAGCCTAGAATGGAAAAAGATCTTTGATACCTGATTTCCATATGCTTTCTGTAGGAACTACTTCAATTTTCCTCTTCCACCAAATGCTACCTAGAATATAAATTACTTGGCTGAGTTAACTGTTTTGCTTCTGATCCTTCTTATTTTCTCCTCATTTCTACTAATCCTAAAGACAGAGTCCTAAATATGGACAACACACAACATCAAAACACCTGGTGGGTAACAACTTGTTATTGTGCAAATGGGGCTGTACATGGAGTTCACAAGTCTCTCTATATACAAATTTGGCATATAATTGTTCAAATTATATTGGTCGGGTTCACTGGCTGGTAAAATCAGTTCCTTCAAACTCTTTACAGTGAAAATGGAGCACTGATGAAGTGGTTGAAGTGGTAAACCTCAGCCCCCAACCACTGCCACCGCCCCCCTACCCCCGGCCCCCACTACATACACACACACTCTCAGAGGAACATGTACATCTGAGTTGAAGGTTGGTAAACAAACTGCAGTCAGGGAAGCATGATCCCTCTCCTTGTGCTTTTTAGCTGCTGGCTCTGCCCTACAGCTGAACTTTTGCCATAATTGGTAAATATTTACTTTGAGGTCTGTAATTGAAACATACTTGACTCCCCAAATCAGTACCAAGCTGCTTCTGAAATGTGTTTAACTTACATCTTTACACAATACCCACAGCTTCCCGAAGTTGGAGGCCCACGGCCAGAGTTAGGCAATCTGTCAGCAGTCAGAGGACCTGCAATCTGAAACAATTCTCCATCTAGACAGAGCAGCAGAGTGGGCTGTTTATCCGCTCACAGGTCATGCCCTCTCCAACAAGTTAAGATCATCCACCTTTTTGGTGGAAACATAGGGAGCCATTTTCTTTATTTTTCCTTTGTTATAAGGACATTGCACAGGAGCCATTGTTTATGATGATAGTCCAAGTGAAGTGACATTTTCTCTTTGTAATTATATCTCAAGTCTTTCATTTTCCCTGGCCCCTTACTCTCCCTTTCCCTGCTTTGCAGTGGATGCTTGTAGTACAGATGCACTTCCTTTTAAAATGTTCCCCCAGCCCACACCAGCAGAATCTTCGTCTTCTGACCCTATCACCCAGCTGGTCTCTATGGAAAGGGTTATTACCATACCTCCCTTTATTAAGTTGGAAAGAAATTAAATATACCCATTTGGCCATAATTATTCTCTAGAGTGTTTCTAAAAAGCATAAACATGAGTTATAACAAAAGTTCTTCATGTAAGTTGAAACACAAGAATTGAACACATCTTGAAAAATAATGTTTGGAATGACACTAACAACCACATTTGCTTTAAGTGACTATGGTGATTGCAAAGTCCCTGCATGGAAGTTTGTCCTCAAGACTGGGAGATCTTGGCATAATATTGAACAATACCTTACACGCCACATTTCAAACCATTCACTGACCTACTTGTTATTATCTTTCCTCTCTGAAAATCCGAACAACGTTTTACACATGTTTACACCTGAATTGGGCTTAAATAAAATAAAAAGGACTAAATAGGCTTCGTTCTTCCCATGTATCCTTTCTCTGGGCATTGTGAAAGCATTTCCAAACTCTTATTCCTTATGATGCCAACCTGTGACCTACCTTCCGGTGTCACATATTTCTAACGATGACTCAGAAAGCTTCTATGCTATTAGTCCCTTGAAAATAATACTTAAGAACTTCTTAGACGTCTCAATTGCTCTGGGCCTGCTTCCCAGGTGTTTTGTAAAAATCAATCTAGAAGAACAGTTAGATTATATGCCTCCCAAGCCTATTTTTCCTATAGACAAGGAAAACAACAGGATAGATGGTGTACTGAGCTGAGCCAGAGGAGTGGATGACATTCTCTGGGTTGTTGCTAAGTTCTGTGTGACTTTAGACAAGTCATCAAACTTCTCTGTTTCAATTTCATAAAAAAAGACCCCGACACACTTCATGCACGTATATGCATGAAATGGCTTACCTCATATCTGGCATTAACAGACACTGCATGCTGATACACAGGTTATCTTGATTATTACTTATTGCATTCTATCACTAAAAGATACTATTTTTCATTTACTGCAAGCCTTCTGTTTGTAATTTTATTATCTCCACTATAAAGATGTGAGCATGATTATAAGTATATATCAAGATACCGTCTTTGCCTGGGCATGGTGGCTCACACCTGTAATCCTAGCACTTTGGGAGGCTGAGGCGAGCGGATCGTCTGAGCTCAGGAGTTCGAGACCAGCCTGGGCAACATGGTAAAACCTCGTCTCTACCAAAAAATAAAAAAATAAAAAATTAGCCAGGCGTGGTGGTGGGCGCCTATAATCCCAGCTACTTGGGAAGCTGAGGCAGGAGAATGGTGTGAACCCGGGAGGTGGAGCTTGCAGTGAGCCGAGATCGCGCCACTGCACTCCAGCCTGGGGGACAGAGCAAGACTCCGTCTCAAAAAAAAAAAAAAAAGGTAAGAATAAAAGATACCATTGTTAAACTTTTTACGTTTTAAATCTTTTTAAAATTTTTTTTGAAGCACTATGCTTTACAGGTAATTTTATTTGTATTTCTATTTAGATTAGTTTAACAGTATTGTGGTATACACAAAGTTTCATGTAACCGCTATATACACAGATATTTAAGCCATAACCATGTACATGTTCTGGTTAATTCATAATTGCAAATAAATATAAGTTTAGAATATTACCTTATTTTAAGGCCATTTCTTTTTTTTTTGTCTTGTTAATAGAATATTTAAAATTAGAAGTCCCTTTTGATGAATTAAAATATATGTATGTGTGTACACAAAATATGTCATTAATATATAGGTACCTATGTAAAAGTGTAAAATATACCACATCTACATGTAACATATAATAAATATATATATATACAATGAAATATTATATCTCTATTCTGTTTTGATTCAATCATCAAGTTTAAGAAGATGATTACATCTGAAAAACCAATACAACATCTGAGAAATGATAGATTGGTTATCTAGTGTCAATTATGTTTCAAACATGCTACTAGGTGCTTGACATATGTAATTTAGTTAATACTCATAGCAGTTTTATAATATGGTTATTATTATACCAGCTTTATAGGCATACATAACATGCTTGTCCAGAGCCTGATCTGTGACCTTCAAAATATGTGATCTTTCTACTCTGGTATGCCTTTCTCATCTGAATGAGAAAATAAAGGGCCCACACACATTTAAATGTATTTCTATTCAACAAACATTTATCACTCATTTAAAATTAAAAAACAAAATAAAACTGGAGGCACAGATGTGTTATATGATGCCTTTTTGAAGGAAAGGATTCTTTAGTCCATTACTACTTCCTAAATAGATACATACATGTGGACACAACTTGTCTAAGCTGTGTGGCTAACTTAAATCTTCTCCCAATGTATACATGTAAAATATATAATGTGTGCATAGCTGTGTGTATACTTGAAAGTACTGAAAAGCCTTGGGTGATTTTAGGGATCACCTAGTTAGCCCTCATTTTGCATGTTAGTTGACAGAGAGAAAGATGACTTATAGCTGACTCAAATTATGAAAATATTCCCATTTCTTATAATAGTACTAGAATTTAACCTCACGATTACTCTGATATTAGAGGATAACTTATAAAACCAGTATATTTTTTAAACCATCTATGTTTAAGATCAAAAGCCTTGATCTTAAGAGTTACTCTAAACTTTATTTTATTTTATTCCTTTGTTCAAATTTGCAAATATTTACAAATATTTTTAAGTAACTACTAGAGTACTAATTACTTTTTAAGTATATCACACAAAATTAAAAACTCCTACTTCATTTCCCTACACTATTCAGAAATTAATAGTGACACTAATAGGGAATCAACAGTGAGGCCTCTTGCTAAAAAAGCTGGACAGTTAGTAAATAAACATACATTTACACACTTGCATGAAGAGGGTGCAAATGAGTTAATTCACTATAAAACTTGTATTCTAAAACATTTACTGCTGTACTGTGCAACTCATAAATAGGACCTTTGTAAGCATTATTCTGTCCTAATGACTACTTTATGCTTTAGAAAACTTTGTGTAAATAGATTTTACATTTCTCCTCTTTCCCTATATATTCCAATAGGAAAGAATAAGATAGGGTGGAAGGGTCCTTTCATTTCAGAACTCAATTAGCATCACTTTAACAGGGATAAAAATAACTGTATGAAGTCATTAGAAAACCCCAGGCCTAATTTTAGCTAACATTTTCAACTTTTCCTCCTTATCCTGAAAATAAATTTTAAAAGTCATTTTCAACTCATTTTAATTTCACATTCTTTCTTCTCACTTCTGGTAGAGGTGATAATGAGCAGTGAAATCATCAAAAGAAAGGTGGTGGGATTGAGGAGGGAAAGAAATGAAGGGCATAGAAAATCCACAAAGTGGATCAGGAGTTGCCGAATAAAGAACAGTTAACTAAATGCGGTTTATTGATGATGCATATGCCTTACTTCCTGGAGTCAGTCCCTGGGAGATTTGAAAGAAGGAAAAAATACAGGCTGTGCAAAGAATAAAGCAATCGTAAACCCTATGAATTAGCATAGAAATTAGGTCAGCGCCAAAACAAATCTATTGAAGGAGACAAAGAATTTTAAATTTTGTTTTAGGAGACCGATCATCTATTTCTTCAGATACCTATTTTTTATTCTCACAAATTTAAGTGTTACATATGGGAAAGTTTAATGAAAATTTATGCTTAAGTAATGTTTTTATACAGATCAACAGACTGGCTTGATAAAATCTCTTTTTATCTGACTCTGTGAGTCTAAAGTGCGATTGTTAGAAAACTGCATGACTGTTCTAATCTCAGCATGTGTGGCATATATCAAAGCATTGAATGAGTATCATAGGGTCAGTAAAAGACTTTGTCAATGATGTACATAGTCAATATTTTCATGGTGAAAATAGGAAAAGCTACGATCACTAGCTACTTCTTTCTTGATATCTTTTTAGAAGGAGAGCAGAGTTTGCTGACCTCAATTTCATTTACTGCTAACAGCCAGCAATATTCAGCACCTAACTTTCACCAAGTGCATGGTGGACGTTACATTGAACATTCACAAAGTCTCTGCAAGTTAATGATGACCGCATTTTACAGATGAGGAATAGAAGGCTTTTAGAGGTTAAGTAGGTTGCTTGTGGTCACACAGCTTTGGAAGTGGCTAAGTTAGGAGGAACAAGGAAAATCTGAGTTAGTTTATTATAATGCTGGTGAGCCTTTTAAAAACAAATATAGGGGATATTCTAACATTAACTGAAGCAAGAACATATGTTGAATAATGAATATGTACACATTATAAATAATGCATATAATCTGATAGTAACAGAACCATTTCAAAACTACCAAACATCTGGAAAAATTAAACAATTATAAACTTCAATAAAAATGTACATAAGCTATATTTCTGAAACAATGAGTACTCTGTTTTTTTCCAAATTATTTGAATTATCAGGAAAAGAATGTGGGTTTTGTAACAGAATTTGTATAAGCAATTTAGAATTATATGGCAATAAAACATTTACTTGGAGAAAAGAATGCGCTTCTTGATAATGAAATTGTAAATATCCTAAAGGCCCACCATTTCTTAATTGTAGATAATATTAAAATTTGGTCCAGTTGATATCAAGTTTATTTAGAATACAGTAATAGCAGTTTTTTTTGTGGATTGCTTCTCTTTATGAATACATTCTGCATTAACTAGATTTAAATGAAATATGAATAATAATTGGTTTCTAATGATAAAATTTTATTAAAACTTGTTTTAAATATTCATATGTTCTTTTAGAATTCAAATGTCAAACAAATGTAGATAAGAATTTAGATTTTGTGCAATTTAACAGTCACGTAGGCAAAGGACAAAAAAAGCTAGAAGGAAAAAAGAAATTGGCAAATTTCCATGGAAAACAATATCTTTTATGGTATTTTTCTTTAAATAAAAAGAATTAAAACTTTTTAAAAATGTGCCATAAGCATGGCATATACTCCTGGCCAACATGGCATATATTCTATATAGGAGTAACTATTCTTATTCTAAATGTGGATATACATGGTGTGCTTTCTTAAAGAAAAAAAAAAAGCACAATTACTGCCACTTTGTATTTCAATACCTCTCCAAAAAAAATCCACATTTATTAGAGTCCTGCCAGAGCTTGTTAAACTATTCAGCAATGATTATAAAAGGCATTTTGCACATAATATACACCAGTCCTAAAGCTGAGAGACCTCAAGTATCCTTACTAGCTGTGAGTGTGACTATTTAAGCATTTCTGTAGGATTTCTGGATCCTGGTTGACTAAAGATGCCATCTCCACACAGCCATATAATATTTAAGAAAACCTCAATTAGGCTAGCCATGGATCCTTCAAATCTGCATCACTGCCACAGGCTCTCTAAGGTACTACATACAGTCTACAATAAACCTCCTTAATATCATAATCAAAGTATCAGTGAGCTTTTCAGCAAAAAAAGACAGGTTTTCACTTATCACTTAAAACCATTTATCACAAAATAGTAGAAATCTTGACTCAACGTTATATTTTCCCTCCAATAGATTTTGGCAAATGAATGCCATATTTCTCAGAAGTTACCAGACACTAAAAAAGGGTTATAACAACAGAGAAGGTGCCACGCTCTTCTTGTTATTGCTTTTCTTACAAGTCCTTTGCACATTCATCGTCCACTTTCCCTGACTTCAGTGACACTACACTTAATAGTGTTTTGTACCTTACATCTCTGTCCTATTTTTGTCTTTGCTGGGTTTTCTCGCTCCTTTTATCACTTTTTAACTATAGGTTTCTCCAAAGGTCGTTTCTGTTTTTTTCTATAATCACTCACTGGGGAGTCCTTTTATTGGAATTCTAGTCATGCAGGCCTTCCAATTGCACTCCCAATGCCTTCAAATTTTATGCATCCTCAAAATTTCCTGTAATTAGGAAACATCATCTACAGTTGAAAAGTTATTTTTCCCTAGGTGAAATCTCATCCCTAAGGATTTTTATTCCCTCTTCCACAAATGGCCTGTTCCCAGTCAGACAATCTACATATGACAATGCTTCTAGCATAAAACAGAAACATCCATACTTACAAACATTTTATCTACTTAAAGGTAGTTCACAAGTATATTTAGTTATACATCCAAATTATTATGAAACCAACTACTATTGCCAACTGTTGGTGGAAGGCAGAACTGAGGTACATGGCTTTGTTCTCACCATATTAATACATAGAGGACTGACTGTTCTTGGAACATAGCAGATGTAGAAGTTTGAAAAATGCACACAGTGGAACAGTGCACTGTTGCCTGAGAAAAGTCAACTGCCTGAATCACAAGTGGCCTCAGAGAGTGGCATTAAAGTCATGAGATATAATAACAGCTACCAGTTTTTGAGTATTCACTGGACTAACATATTTATGTGTATGTGTATGTATACGTATATAAATATGTGTGTGGGTGTTGTATATAAATTCTTACAGATAGGTATCATTATTTGCAATTGAAAACTGGGGAAATTATAGCTTAAAGCATTATGTACCTTATCCAGGATCACACAGCCATCATTTACATCATATCAAGCATTACCTTAATTCAAGAACAATTACCCTGAGTATATTCGGCTATACAGTCTATATGTTGAAAAATTGAATTTGGGAAAGGAGTGAGGATAGAGAGAATATTTTAAAATCTCAGACATTAAGTCATATTGACCTAGCCTGACAATAAGCCCCAAATTTCCCATGAGAGTTTGTTTTCAGGCTGTTTTCCCATGGCATTGATTGGGCTCTTTTTTACTCTTAAAGTACTGTAGTTTAAACAATAAAATATGCGGTCAACTTAAATTATTCATATTAACAAGATTGGTTCAGAAAATCAATGAGCATGAAAATATAATGAAAATGTGTTACAAAGACTTCCATATTCATGTGGCATGGTCACTGCACTTTCTTCTGAAGATAGATCGTAGTGAGAAGCCAAAGAAGAACCAGGTGAATCAAACTGTGGAATGAATGAAATGTTTTTTCACAGCAGGCTGAAGCCTCGAAGGATTCAGCCAATGGAGATGGGATACATACAGCCATTTGGCTTTGATTCCCTCTGTGCTTCTCGGTGCTTCCATGCATACTTTCTCTGGGATGCTCTTCTTTTGGTTTCAGAAGCTGGTAAATCTCTGCTGATTAACACATGATTTCTTTACAAACACAGAATCTTTCTCAGGGTGTGGGAAGCCTGATGTCTCAAAACCATTCTCTTCTTCAAAGAGCTCTTTCGTGCTTCTGTTCTGATTGTGTATCAAATCAGAGGAAAAGACATTTTCCCTTATTTCCAAGGTACGAGAAGGCATTTCAGTGTAGCCTGTGGGTATGAACCAAGGAGACAGCATGGTACTTATGAGCCCAGGTTTTGTGATCACACAGATCTGGCTTCAAGTCCCCATTCTGCAATTTATTTACTAGTAGTGTTACCTTGAACATTACTTAGAATTTTTAAGAATCAGTTTATATCCCAATTACCCTGTTTTGATTGTTACACATTACATGCCTGTATAAAAACATCACATATACTGCATAAATATATGCAACTATTATGTACCTGTAATAATTATATATAAAAATTTTTTTAAAAAATTAAAATTTTATAGCATTTACCATTTGCTAGAGAGTATCATAACATTATATGTGTTAAGTTACTTAATTTTTATAGCAGTTGTTGAGCTAGGTACTGTTATTGTCATTATTTTAATATGAGTCATACAGCAGCTATGTAACTTGATAAGCTTTCACAGCCAATAGTAGAGGAGCTGAGATGGGAATGAAGGCAAGTTGCCTCCAGAACTCTCAGTCAACCATTTCCCTGCACTTTGTCCTGTTAAATAGGGTTAGAAGTACTTACTTAGCTCAATGAATATGGTAGGTATTTAAATAAGTAAGTGTATTTAAAGTGTTTACCACAATTCTTGCCGCATAGTAAGGTTCAATAAATGCTAGCTGTAATAATCTTAATTATATTCTCCCCTTTCCTTCTCCTTCCAATCATTCATTTTTATTCAAAGTAAACCATGGTTCTTTTCATTTTATGTACACTATATAATTGTTGCTATTCCTGTACCTTTTCCAGTGAATTTTTCTTCAATTAAAAATTCTTGTATTATGTGGATAGCTTTTCCAAAACATGATTTTTCTTCATAGTCTAGTGTATGTGACTTTATTCATTCCACTTTTTTGGTGCCTTTATCCACACTGAGTTTGATTTCTCTGGGTTTTTACTGAATTTAGAGATTTTAAAAATCATCTCATTTATGTTTTATTATAAGTTATAATCATTTTGCATGTCTTTACATATTGTTCTGTATCATTTTTAGACAGAACAGAATTTCCTCGTATCAGTTTATAATGTGAATATGAACATTTTAATTGTTTCAATATTTTATGTAAATATATTTTCAGTGAGGCTTATTTTATCCACATCTTTGGAAATATTTATGATAATTTAGCATGAATTACTAAATATCGAATATATGTTTTAACTGGAATGTAAAATTTTAAGATTTTCTAGTATATGTAAAACAATAGTTCCAGAAATTCTAGTTATTTATAATAGCACTGTAAGTATATGAGGATACTCATTTCTTCAAAGATATCATTATTGGATAAAGGATATTTTATTTATTTCCAATAAGATAGTTCCAAATAGCATTTATTTGATGGGAATATTAATAATTTTGAAAATGGGAAATTGCTTCCATGTTTTTGGAGGTGGATATTAATAGTTTTTCTTAGTGTTTTATGAATAATACTATAAATACACCATAAAATATGGGTGCCATGATTTTTATTCAAATATTTGATAAGTTTCTTGGATATTTACTGTATCTTGACTTGGATTTCCCCAATTAAATAACAAGCTCTTAATGGATAATGGTAAACACAGACCAAGCCTGTAGTCAATGTTCAATTAATAATTTTTAAATGGCTGAAAGCAATAATCTCTTAAATTTTAGTTAATTAAATACTATTAAAATATCCTTAACTCTCTCTAGCAGTATAGATGATAATTTCCAGATATGGGAGACTCTGCCTGTTTAAGTAGTATTTGCCACAACACTATTTATTTCCTTTTAATGCTTGTAATAATGAATATAAACATAAATGTTATTTGACTATGATATGTTATATTCTCTAATGTGAACATAATCAATTTAATTAATATTCTTTTACCAGAAGTAAAATGTAATGTGATTAACTTTGTTTATTGAAAGAACATGAAAATGTTCTTCTCCAAATTAAATACATCAGAAACATTGTATTCTCATTTCTATTTCTGCTAAATGGATCTCCTACCATCCAGAGACTGTCGGTCCATGAGATCTGCTAATCCACTTTTTCTTCTTTCTTTGGTCAAATTGTTCCCTAAAGTTTAGCAAAATGAAAATAATGTAAAAATTCTTTGCTCCTCCAGAGAAAATGTTTTCTTTTTGTCTGCCTTGAAAATCTGTTCTTTTCGTATTTGTCTCTTGCTTACAATGTGAGAGTTAGCAATAAATGAACAACTGAATGGAAACGAAGACCTCAGAGTTGCTTTCCCCGTGGAGTCAATGCCTTTGGGTAAACAGTGACTCTTTATTCTTCCTGTGGTTTGTGGTATATTTTCATTATCTGTAAAGTATAGAAAATAATACCTTTCTCTGATGTCATACAGATTAAGTAAAAAGTGTGTCCGTAAAGAGCTTAAAATTTCAGAAACAAAAAATGTTCTTATTTCACTACCAGGGTTGTAGATGAATTCACATGGTCTTCAATGCCAAAGCTTGATAAGATAAAGCTGCTGTAATCAGCCTCATAGAATAATCCTGCAGTAATCTTTTGTACTCCAGTGTCGACCAGTCTTCACTATTGTCTCTTTCTACCTTTTCTCATTTCTTCCTGTTACCTAGTTTGTATTTCCTTATATATAATAGAAAAAAAAAGATTCTAAAGGTCAAAGATATTATCAATAAATCAGCCACTGGGATATTGCTGTCAATATACAATATTTTATATGACAAAAATATTATATGCCTTATTCGAGCCATTTTATATTAAGGCAATATTTGAGACTTTTTTTTTTAACTTGAGATGGTAGGCATTGCAGAAAGTGTGAACTCAGTGTATATTGTTGGACTTTATGACACATGAAATGTTTTAGAATTTAAAATCAATTAAGTAAAGGATATATAAACTACTTTTATTAATAGGAATTACCAAGTTATGCTAATCTCTTAGTTCAATAAAATTTTGCTGACAACCATCCAACTAACTAGGTACTGTTATTATCCTAGTTATAGATGGGAAAATCAAGGCACAGATCTTATATTATTTTTATTATCTTAAAGGAATATCCGAGACTGGGTAACTTATAAAGAAAAGAGGTATATTTGACCCATGTTTCTGCAGGTTGTACAAGAAGTGTGGCACCAGCCTCAGCTTCTAGTGAAGGCTTCAGGCTGCTTCCATCTATGGTGGAAGGTGAAGGGGAGCCAGTGTGTGCAGCGATCACATGGCAAGAGAAGCAGCAAAAGAAAGGAAGAGGTACCAAGTTCTTTTTAACAATTAACTCTCGTGAGCAAGAGCAAGAACTCACTCATTACCCTGGGAAGTCATTCATGAGGAATCTTCCCTTAGGACCTAGAAATCTCCCCTTAGGCTCCACCTCCAACATGGGGATCAAATTTCAACAGGCAATTTGGGCGACCAACACCCAAACTATAGTACACAATGAGTACATTAGGCAAAGTTATAAATCAGTTCCAAACTCTCAGCAGTTTAACACAATAAAGATTTATTTCTTACTCATATTAGATGTTTATTGTTATTCTCCACATATTTTCACTCAAGGATCAGGCTGATCTCTTTCACCACGTAATCTCTGCATGTTCTGACACCCCTTCACCTTCCACCGGGAGTGGAAGGAACCTGAAACCCTCACGAATTGGATGCTGGTGTCATGCTTTTTATACAGCCTGCAGAACAGTAAGCCATATACACCCCTTTTCTTCATAAATTAAGAAAGACCATTGCTTGTGACTCCTCTTATCCAATTCTTAGCTTTCCGTGTCACTGTGGAAGGAAGGAGTAAACATGGAGAGCTCATAGCAACTATGAAATGGCTTACCCAAACTGGGCATACATTGCTTCCACTCACAGCTTACTGGCCAGAACTCATCGCATCCCTCCCATTCCTACTGTCTGTAAGAGATTAAAACATGTAGACCTCTCTTATACCCAGAAAGAAATACCGAATTAGATCTGAACACTTAGAATAATTTTAGAAGAAAGTTTAAGTAGCTCATCCAACACCCAACAGCTGGTAAATGGTGGAACTGAGATTTAAATCCACATAAACTGACTGCAGAGCCAGCATTGCAAACCATCTTTATATCATTAATATTCATTTAGAAAACATCTGATGTCATTTTATGGCCTCCATTTCTTGTTTCATATTCTAAGCTTATGATTTTATTTTAGAATCATTTATTCCAAATATCTATTGCGTTAAAATCCAATAAACACATGGCTTCTTGAGAAACAGTTTCACCCTTTTCTAATACACATCCATAAGTGAGTGCAGCTATTGAGCATGTTCTCAGGAAATATATATTTGTGTACAAATATATACACACATATTATAAATTGCATATGCATGTATTTTATGATATGTATTACACATATATCATATTATATATGTATTTACACAAACATATAGACATATTAACAACAAACAGCACTGACAGTGCTGTTTTTAAAATAATCATTTTAATTGCTCATTCTCTTCAGATTTTTAAATGTCATACTACATCTGTTACCTTACAAGGCTGCTAGCCAAAAAAAGGACAAAGTATTTTGGATGTTTTACCCATATTCTGAGATGATAAAATTCTATTTCCTCAATCTGCCAAGCAAGCTTCATATTTTAGTAACTCTAAACATTAAAGAACTCTTTGTATAGGGTCTCAAATAAATAGCAGATGGATTTCAGGTTGTCTACATTAAAATGTACATCTGCTCTGAACAAGATATAAATGTAAAATTTTGAGCTTTCTATTTATAGCTTTAGCCTAGTGAGGAAAAACAAACAAACAAACAAACAAACCTAAAGCACGCATTAGATTTCAGAATAGCTTCTTGTTATTGTCTGCTCAATAGCAAATAATATGAGGATCATAAAGTCTTGAAGAAGACGTTGAATTTCTTCGGGGAATGGACAGAAGTGCTCTCTGGTGTGTTAAAATCATTTCAAAGGGAGCTTGCTGGAAAGAAAAACATTTTATTTGCCAAAGAAATTTTAGTTATATGTGGGTTTACAAACTTCTATGGACCTGCTAGAAATAGTAGATGCAACAGTGAAGTAAAGAAATCAAGACACTGAAGGTCTTGTGTTTTGTGCTTAGGTATTGGTGTCTGTCTTTTGATTTCGATTAGATTTCAGCTCATTTCAACAATTATTACACTATCAGCAAAATGTTGAAATATGTAATAACATATTACCTTTAATCTATTATTGAATTACCATTCCGATAAATTTTCAATTTAAGATATTTTGATGTTTTTATAACTAAATATGAAGATGTATGTTACACATGCTTTAAAGTTTACTGAATAAGCAACAACAGAATTGAAGCAATGCAAAAATAAGGTAACAAAGGCATTTATTAATTCGATATTATGACAAATTTAGTTGTGACTTTAGAGAGCTTAATTTGCTTCTCACTGTGTTATTCCACAGGTTACAATATCATTTAGTCATCTCAAAAAAGAAATACTTTTTTCTTGTGGAATTGGCCGGGCGCGGTGGCTCAAGCCTGTAATCCAGAACTTTGGGAGGCCGAGACGGGCGAATCACGAGGTCAGGAGATCGAGACCATCCTGGCTAAAATGGTGAAACCCGTCTCTACTAAAAAATACAAAAAACTAGCCAGGCGAGGTGGCGCGGCCTGTAGTCCCAGCTACTCGGGAGGCTGAGGCAGGAGAATGGCGTAACCCGGGAGGCGGAGCTTGCAGTGAGCTGAGATCTGGCCACTGCACTCCAGCCTGGACGACAGAGCCAGACTCGGTCTCAACAAAAAAAAAAAAAAAAAAAAAAGACTATGACACTTGGACAGTTACATACAATAGCCTTTATTGCAAGAATACATTATAATTACAAGTGTGTACTTTTTTTTTTTTGTAACAAAGCTTTTTTAAGAGATTTAGAGCTCTGCAATCTTGAATTATTCCAGTATCTGCTACTACTGGTATTTCTTCAGAGAAATAATTAGTAAAATATTGTGGCAAAACAATGTACTACAGTAGAAAGCCTTTCTACTTGTAAGTCAACAATTAATGTATCACAATAGCTAGAAATTAGATCTAAAATATTAATTTCATATTGAAATGTACCTCTACCTGATCACAGATTTCTATTTTTTTTTTTGGTCCTGTGTAAGCTACTGTCATATTCTATAGAATAATATTGGATTCTGAACTGATAGGAACAAGATAACAACAGAGAAGAAAACCAAGTTTTCAGGAGTGTGTTTCCTCTTGGTACGTTTGGATGATAGTAGGTAAGGAACTGGAAAATTTCTGGACGACTATGGTTCCTATTTTGTCTACTTTTTGAAAACTGGGAGAATATTTTTTAATGGGGAAAAGGTGACAAGGCATATATTTCTTGTTGAATTTCATGTCTTATTTGAGCAATAATTGTAAAAGGGCTTAGAGATACCCAGGAGAGGTTATAATTAGAGACGTGATAATTCTATACACACAGAAGTGGCAGGTGAAACCATGGACTTAGTAAAATCATCTAAGGAAAATGGCCAGAGGGATGAAAGAAAAATTCAAAGGCAAAAATATGGATTATAATAACAAAGAAGAATCAGCCACAAAGGGCTAAGAGGCTGAGAAAGAGTAATCAGAGTGTTGGAATTTTAAAACCAACCTAGAGAAGACAAACGAAGTAAACATTTCAGTAGGGGGAGTAAAGTATAAATTAATAGTTCTTGTATGTTAGACACTGTACTGAGTTCTTTACCTACTTTATCTCGTGTCAAGTTCCCAATAATCTTTTGAAGTGATGTCATGTTCCAAATTTACAAATGAGGTAAATAAAGCAGAGAACAGCTAAATTTGCTTCCTGCTGCACATGTCCCTTAAGTACTAGAGATGAAGTTCAAACTCCGGTATGTCCGACTGCAGCTCACACTCTTAAATTCCCCTCTCTACCAGAACAGAAAAAGAGTTGATGATTTCTAATTGATTTTTATTTGACTACTTTTGACTTTGGACATTATCATTGAAAAAGAGATTATTAGATTTAGCAGCTAGTAACAATACATTAGGTATATTAGAATAAGAAATTCATTGAGTCTTGGGGAATTTATGAAAAAATATTTTATAAAACATAATGTGAAGGAAAGAAGGTTACAAATTTATAAACAATAATGATACCCAGCAATGATCTATATAATTACACAAACTGTGAACAATAATGAATATACTACTTAATATTTCAACATCAGTTTTTCCTTTGATAAAATGAACATAGTGCTTGAATTATTTTAGGTGAATAAATTAAGTAATATACACAAAATATCTTGTTACTATGAGTAGTGAATAATACAAGTTCCAATAAAAATAATATTTGCTATCTCTCAATCAAAATACGTGATTTGGCTGAGTTCTACTTTTGAAGAGTGAGACTAATAGAAACCAGATTGCAATATGCTAATGAATAGATGAGTTATCTGCTAATGGAAACAATGATTGTAGATTTTTAAAAAAATGTTTGACAATGAAAAGAATTGCATTAGGGATGCAGTTGAATGGGATGATGAAAGTTAAAGAAGCAAAATGTTTACAGACTAGAGAGAGAAAAAAACTAAGGATGAAAAAGTTGATAGAACAATACCTTTGAAGAGGCCTGATAAAATAAAATTGAAATCCTTTAAAATCATTGAATTTGCATAATTCCCATGATAATTTGTTTATTTCCCCCTTCTTTTCAACCCTTTTTAATAA